TTCTTTCCAAGCTCCTGAGACATCAATGCTTATGTTAAGGCTTTGGTTTCATGTTTATACACACAGAGCAAAGAATGCCATCTAAGCACCCTGTCTTGAGTACTCTCCTTTTTTCCTATAGCAAACCTGGAACACAATGCCATGTCCTCAAATCATTAACTACAGTTATACTAACTGTAGTTAGTATGCAGCATGAAAGCTTTTTGAGTCAGAGTCAGACATCTACTTATATGAGGGAAGCAGGGCTTTGCTAAAAAGTTTGGAATATTTAACTTAATGTAAACCAGGGAGAGTAAAGATTCACTAAGCACATGGGCTGTCAGAATTCCTCAAGAATATGACCTTGTGTTATAGTTAGTTGTGCACAAGACCCCATTCTTCACTGGCTTGTTAACTCCTGAAGGTAAGGTCTCATGACTTACTTATCTCAGTGAAATTACCGCCTTTTATGAAGCAAGCGCACAGACTCCCTCCCTCCCCACCTGTCTTCCTTCCCTCTTTCCCTCCTCTACCACCCTGTCCTCCCTCCTTCCTTTTCAATGTTTAGTGAATTCATTCTCTGCCATATCACTGTTTGGCTTCTTAAGTTGTTTGGATGTGTTTAATTGTCCTTCTGAGTAAAAAAGAATGAAGACTGCTGGGTCTGTACAGAAATCTGCTAAGGCGTTATTTCTGGATACACTTGCTACTGACAATTCTGTGTGTAATTTTAGGTATTTAAAGCAACAGTGAGAATCCAGTTATAGAGTCTTGATGACTACAAAAAGATTTATAGCTTCATGATGAGGAAGTTGGAGGGGAGAAGTGGATGAAAACAGAGATATTCCTGAAGGTCATTATGTAGATTAACACAAGTCCTCTGTCAAGAGAGAGGAGAACCACGGAAGAAGCTGAGGAAGGGATGAGATTTCTAAAAGCTGAGGAATGTGCCTGTCTCTTCATGCCCATTGTTTCCCTTGAAAGTACACAGATCAGTCCTAGGGCAGAGATTCCTACATATTGTATAGTCAGGCTATCCAAAGAAACAGAAACAATAGGATGTATGTATATGCACAGAGAAAAAAATAACATCAATATATAATACATGTATACAGACACACATATATAACATACATACATGCACACATGTACATACATACATGTACACATACATACATATGTATGTCTACATGTCCATGTATATATGTACGTGTACATGTATGCATGTCTCTATACATGTATATATGTACGTGTACATGTATGTGTGTCTGTATACATGTATATATGTACATGTACATGTATATATGTGTGTGTATGTATTGTATGTCTGTGTGTGTGCATATGAATATATATGCCAGTCTGAGGCCTGAGAATCAGGAGATCTGATGATGCAGTTCCGATATGAATGGCATCAGGCTTGAGACATAGAAAGAACTGATGTCTCAGTTCAAGTATAAAGGTGGGAAAGAACTGGTGTCCCAGCTCAAGGCAGTTGGGTGGAAGCGGCTCCCTCTCACTCATGGGAGGGTCAGCCTTTTTGTTTAATTCAAACCTTCAACTGACTGGGCAAGTCCTACCCACATCTGGGAAGACAATGTGCTTTACTCAGTTTGCCCTTTTATATGCTAATCTCATCCAGGAACATCTCAAAGACACACTCAGGATAATGACTGACCAAATGTCTGGGCACCCTGTGGCCCAATCAAGTTGATACATAAAATTAGCCATCATAGGTATAAAGAGTCATCAGTAGCAGGTGACCCACGTGCTCTGAAAGCAAAGGAATAATACATTCCACTTCATAGTGTGCCTTGTGCCAATATCTTCGGAGGTATTTTCCTGGGCTCCCCATGCTGTGAAATACATCTTCCTTGCAATCCACTTATTATTCCCACCTATTTTTTCACAAATAGGGCCTGGATATGGGGCTTTAGCCTAAAATACTCAATTTTCTCATCTTGTGTTCTATTAATCTTTCGCTGACCATTCAATACCTACTGTGAGCCTCAGGTGGAGATGACAAAGCCTGTCTCCACAGCAGCTCATTAAAGGACAAAGAGAAATGTCTATAAAGCATTATTTGAATGCTTAGTTTTGGGGTTATCATCTATCAGGCTCCACACATTACCTCTGCTTGAAGGTTTCCTTCTTCCACTGCATGGGCCTGGCTCATGTTGGAGCCAGTGAGATGATGAGAAACGGCTGTAAATTTGTGCCTGAGCACATTGTTATCATCCTGACTTCTTTGCCAAAGCTCTTTCATTCACTATTAGCAAAATAAGAGAGGAAAGAAAAGCTACCTAAAGCCACTTGAATGTTTTCCTCCAGAAACACAGGAGACTAACACAGATGGTAGGAAGACAAAATGTGGTTGAACAAGCTAGAGATTTGGTTTTCATGTTGCTGCATAATTGATTTCTGAATTTGCCAAACTAACACAGTGAGCATCACAGATGCTTCATTTCTTCCAGTTTGAAGTTCTTTTCTCTTTAACAACTAAATATTTTAAGAAAGATACTCCTTTGCTCCATCTATCAACTAGACCTTGTTCAGTATGGCAATGCAATGCTGTGACACTGCAGACATTATCCTACCAGTGGCAGGGCTCAAGCAGGAAAACAAATACTCGTGGCAAGAACCAGGTAGAGAGGTTAAAGGGCTTTCTGCCCAACGTAGCTTAATAAAATGAGATAGAGTTTCAATATTGTGAAACCTACATTGGCAAATTGATGTGAAAATAAAACACAATCCTATGAAGTGGTACAGAATCTAGATGATTTTAGAGAACAGTTTTCTCAAAGCTTCAAAGTCACAAGAAGACCACATTTTTCTGCAAAAACCTTGGCTGCAGAAGTGAGCTGTGCTGAAGTCTGCAAAACAACTACCTACTAAGATGAAAAGACTAAACACACAGAGGTGTAAAAAGTCTTCTCAGGCAGTAAGCAATGAAAAAAAAAAACAAAACAAAACAAAACAAAAATGATTTTACCAACTGCTACCTAGTTTTAGCTCCTTTTTAAAAATCCATTTATGTATTTATTTTTAAAATTTGTATATTATATGTTTCCATGATACTCACTTTCATCCCACTCTCCCAAATATAAGCCCCAGAAGTTCAGGTATACTGCAGGGGTACAAATATTTTGGTTACATGGATTTCTTTTATTCATATTTATAGTTTCAGAATCTAGAACAGTATATGGGACAAAATAGGTTTCCAGGAAATATATTTGAATTATTTCAACAAAATCATACACAGACTGGGAAAATATTTCTGAGTAGTTGAACTACAGAAAAACAAAGTGCAACGTGTTTCAGCTTGAGAAAGCAAAGAGTCAAGTGACCCAAGATCATCCCCAAACAAAGAAAGAGCTATCCCCAGTGGTAAATGAATAGGATCCCATAATGTTACCCCATTTGCACTCTCAGAGTTGGAGCTCAAGATGTGGCCATGATACCATGATGGAGAAATATTTAAATGATGAATTATAAAAATTAATCATATATATATATAAATGAAACAGCAGCAATGGTCTTCACACACAGGTAACTTTTAGCACACGTGGTGTGAACTGAAGAGTGATGCCTTTCTAAGGCAGTATCCAACAACACTGGGAGCAAAGGAAAAATGGAAGAGAGCATCTTCATCTAAGGGGAGTCCCTCATGTTTTCTCCCTACACAAAACAGGAATTCTAATCCAGCAAAGCAACACAATTCTACAATACTTGTGGTCCTAGTGTTACTTTGAGAAAGTGATTTCAAATAATAAAATCCAAAGTGAATAAAGCATAGAGGAGAAATTGAAGCTATGGGAGTGAGCATGAGTGAGCAGGGAAATAGTCAAAGAGGAAATGTAGGGAGACAAGCCAAGGGCATACATAGGCAGGGTTTTCTCATAAAGGAGAAGGGACACCTTAGCTCTGAAACCTGGGAAAAGAGGTAAAGATAACTATAAATATACAACAGATTTTATCCCAATGGGAGAAAGGAAGTATTTAGAGAAACTGTTCATGAGGTTTCCAAACCTCTTCAAGAAATAAAAGGCAAATTTGCTGAGAATAAAAGAGTACATTTTGAGTAACAGGTTTAAAACAGTAACTCAGTTTTAAAATAGCAATTGAGAAGAATCAGAGCCCTCCTATCTAGGAAGAAAAGCAGAAGTAATTGTTGGATGATGCTGAGGCTCTTCCAGCGGTAGGTGAGCACGGATTTACAGTGTCCCCCACAGGTGTGATGGTGTTTTCTTCAGAAGTTCTCAGTCACCCAGGCATGCAAACAGAGAGTCCAGATTGTGGCATCCCCCTGGGATGGGTCTGTTGTTAGAAAGAGGCAGCAGGTAGCAAGGTAACTGACAGTTCTGGTGAGAGAGCAGTTCTGCTGTATCACTTCACTCAGTTGGCAGCACAACTATTCCCCCAGCCCTTGTCACTTCAAACCCGTCATAAGTAGTGCAGAGTGACCTACCCAAAGCAGAATCACACCTCAAATTCTTTTGGCTCCTCACTAACAGCAGGATAAAATCCAAGTACTTTTCTATGGACACTATATGATATGTCCCTTCATGACATGGACCCAACCTACCCTACCCTCAACCTTACCTCCTAATATATGCCCCTTTGCCTAACCTTGCTCAAATGCTTCCTGGATTTTTTTTTTTTTAATACGGACAATTTCTACATTACAAGTTATGACACAACGGCACTTACAAGTAACGGCAAGAATATTTCACTCCTCTGTGGTTTTGCACAACCTGTTCCCTTTTCCCAACAGTAATCATCTGTCACTCTCACTGTCTTGCTTTCCTTTCCTCATGTTGATGAGTTTTGACTTAGGGAATGTGCATCACTCTTCCCTTTATACAAGTTCTATAGTCTATCCATATTTCTAAGCTTACTTTATTGTCATTATGTGTTTAGATAATGTTTCCTCTAGATTGTAATCACATTAATAACAATGACGTGGTGGAACATTTAGATTTTTATGCTCAGGACCCAAGTATGAAGTGAAACACAGGACTTACCGGATAAATATGCACTGAGCTGAAGACAGGATAGCTTTGTAGCTGGGCACCAGAGTTGATGTGGACGTGACCTGGGAAAGGCCACCAAAAGGGCGATTCTGAGAGACAAGAGATGCAAAAAGGGAACTGTCAGGTTTGGACAATAACAGCAGACTTGCCTTTGCAAGGCTGCCTCAGATATGAGGACGCAATATGCATGAAAAGATCAGATGAGCTAGACTGTAGAAAACGTCAAAAACTAGACGATGGAAATGAGCTGAGATGTTGAAAATTAGAATCCCAATGATTAAAAGGCCTTTCATTCCCTTTTCTGGAAAACATTGGTTTAGGGGGTGAAATTACTCAATATTACGTCATACAAATGTGTTTATCATTCCATCGTTTCCTACCACCGTAGGAAAAAGTATTTTCTTTATTCATTTTTAACTGAGATTTTTAAGGAATTAAATTATTAAAAACATCAAAAAAACCTATTCCGAAATGAAAGTTTCTATATTTAAACAAGGTTAAATTACAAATAACAGAAGCCAGACACACAAGAGTACAATTCCATATGGTTCCATTTATTCAAAGTACAAAAACATGAGAACACACTAATCTATGTTGTTTGAAGTCAGGGTGGTAGTTACACTCAGATAAGCTGGGGACCAGAGTGAACCAAGATGGGAGTGTCTAAGCTACTGGAATATTTCATTTTTTCTATGATTTGAGTGCTAGCTACATAGATATGTTCAGATAGTAAAAGTTCTAATTGTAACTTTTCCTGAATATATATCATTTTAATAAAAATTTTAAAATTATAAATGTGAGGTTAAGAGAAAACATTTGCAAAATTATATATATATACATATATATATAAAATTTACAAAAAAGATTACTGTGTTTAGTGAAAAAAGAGCTCCAAGAAATGCATTAAAAAAATTCAACCCAGGAGAAAAGTAACAAAGACCATTAACAGGCAACTCATAAAATGCATACAAATGGCTAATAAACAGATTTTTAAAAGATTTTTTATGTTATTATTGATTTAGAAACCTCAAATTGAAACAACAACTAGCAGCCATATTTCATTTAACAGACTAGCCAACATTAGAAGATGTATAATAGCATAATGGCCATCCTTTACTAAGTATGCACTATGTGACAACACTTTCCTACGTACTTGTTTTTTTCTTATAATCCTCATTTAACTTGTGATTTTATTTTTATCTCCATTTTATAAATAATATTAGTAATTTTTCACATAGTAAATGATCAATCTAGGCTTCAAATCAGGCAGTCTGTCTCCAAACTCATTATTTTAGCTACCATTTCATGTGGCTCCTCTGTTAGAATTCTGCCCATTAGTAACGAATATACCTCCTCTTCTACAGACACCAACCGACTCACAAACTAGTCACAGGAGCAGGGTGGGAAGTTTAAAATAAATCTGTTCTATTATGCTGATTATGAAAATTGCTGCTTTAATACTTTTCCATTTTAGGTAACTGGGCACATGTACCCTAAAGCTAACTTACAGACAATCCTCTCATGTTCTCTCTCTTTACTTTTTTAAAATTATTAACCCTTTAAAAAGTAAAACTAAGTCTAATCAAATGTTATAAAATTCATTTGATTGTGCAACTGAGGTGGAGCAAATGTTGGGATTATGGTTAAGAAAAGATAATCTTTGGTGAAAAATACTTAAAGTGTGGGAATCCTATAACAAAGTTATATTTATCCTATATACAAAGTTATAATTACCTATAAATGAACAATAGAAGAAATTCTACAAGCCTTTGCACATACAAAAAACAAAGAAAATCACCACATCAAGAAAGATTTAAAAAAAATGCAAAATATTCTTAAAAATTGAAGGCAAATCTTATCTGTCAGAAATGTGCATGTGTACAGTTGGCTAAAGCCACCAGTGGAAAGAAACCTTAATATTCAGATCACAAATCAGAACCCCATGTGCTCTATACAAGAGACACACTTAAAACAAATGATTCAGAAAGGTTATCAAAAGTTTTAAATTACAGTGAGTTGGTAAAATGTCCTTCACCCACACAGGCAGAAACAATAGATAATGATGTGAATTCAGGGAGTAGAGATTAATCATAAGCCTCTTTCTCTCGTGGTTCTCTTTCTGAACCACATTGAGGATTTATGCAAGAATACAGATGAGGCAGAATACAGTGCCTAGTTTTATAAAATTATATCGGGGACATGGCTTGGACTCAAGGCTCACTCTTCAATCCCTAAATTAAATTTTCCCATCAGTGGGGGCATCTGGAGAACCAGGGGCTTTGTAGGAGCCAGGACTATGAACCTAACACACAAGGAGGAGAGGTTCAAGCTTGCTTTGTTGCAGGGCCACATATGAAGTGGAAGTGAACAAGGAGCAAAGTGAGAGACAGAAGGACATAGGCAGAGGAACAACTCGCATGTACCTGCAGCTTAGAACCAAGAACACTTTATGAAAAGTGACCACTGAAGTTTCTTAAACAAGTTTATGGGTGAAGGGCATGATTACTCATTGATAGGAAACATTGGAAAGGGATCAAATTTGGGAGAAAGACTATAAATCTAATTTTCTACATAATGAATTTGAGATGCCCAAGATGGATATGATTCAGAAGACTGTTGGGTGCATAGGTCTGGAACTAAAAGAAATGTGTAAGATTTCTCCCACATTCCCTTTTACCACTGCGGAATTTTTGTTAGTCATTTACTACACCTAAGATTAAAAATGTAATTTCTTCTCATGCCAATTATTTGCTGTGTAATACTTAAATGAGATCAGTGCTCAACACCAATCCTTTTCATCATGGTCTTCCCCTTCATGATTTGATTTTGACTATATTTTGTGGACAAGTGTTTTGTTTTTATTTATTTATTTTCTTTTTCTTTCTTTTTTTTTTTTTAATTTTGTCCAAGATTGCTTCACAGATAGAGTAGTTCCCTGAGCTTAGCCCTGTTTAAGAGCATCTTCTTCTAACACCTGAACATGAAAAATGCCTTTTTATGATATTTTTAGTCATTTACTATTTCCTGCTGAACTTGTAGACTTAGGCCCTTTTGTAAAAATTCAATATTGCTTTTGAGAATTAGAAAGTGAACCTGATAGTTTTTCACTTGGAGAGAGAGAGTTGATTTTTTTCTGCTTGAACAACTGAAAATTTCTTTCTGCCTTCATGAAGTTCAATCATTTCATGAGGATAAGTTTTGGTGGTGGCTGTTGTGTGTGTATTCTTCCTCCAAAAGAGACCCTCTCTATTTGTTAACATCAGGTTCAGTCGCAACTCTCAGTAAAACCCCAAATAACAGTAAATTAACAAGACAATTTCTTTCCCTCTCATGTTTAAGAAAACTAAAGGAAGCCACTATGACAATATCCCAGGCTCCATAAAAAGAAATGCAGGGAAATGACAAAATTGCGTTCCTCTGAGGATACTTTCTGGAATTTGAAGCTACTTTTCTTGCTCATGTCCCATTGGCCAGAACTTAGTCACATGATCTCACCCAAGTGGCAAAAGCAGTTAGGAAATGCTGTTTTTATTCCAAACAGTCTTTTCCTAATTTTTTTTTTTTTGGTTTTGATATGATTTCGTTGATTTCTCTTTGTCTCTTTTCCACCTTATGTGAGTCATTTATCTACTTGTCTGAGCTGCCATTAGAGGAGGGGACATTAAATGTCCCACCTTTTCTGTATCCTAAAAAGCATAGATGGAGTTAAGGGAAAGAAGAAGGAAAGGAAACATAAGTTTGGGGATGTTTAACCTACCCTGGAAGTTGTGGTCTCTGAGTTCTCTTCCGAGATCATTTAGTCTTCTCAGGAATTGATCCTATCCCTAGTCCCATTGAGTAATGCCCTTCAGTTTCGGTAGAAATAAGACCTGAATTTCCATCAAAGAAAACCAGTTCCATTATTCTTTATCCCTTTTACTCAGTGGTAGCACTCTAGCAGTCATTTCCACCATGCCACTGAAAAGGCAGAAGAGGAGAGATGTACTGAAGCCTGTGGGGAAGGACCATTTTCCCATTTCTAATAACAAGATAGGGGAACTTCTTCAAGGCTCTTGGGAAATGTACAGAACCTATACAAAGAAAACCGAGCATCCCTACTGAGGTCCATGAAAAAGGCTTGAATAAAGACATTAACTTAAATGGTAAGAATTGATATAGTAAAAGTTGTTAATAAATAAATAAAACTTTAAAAAAAGAAAAAGGTCTCCAAGTATTAGCCTAGAGATATAATGAAAACCAATTATACCCTGACATGTCTAACTTAATAAATGAAAACAATATCTAATTATATGAATGATTTATATGGAAGAATAAGTATCTAAGGATTACAAATGAGTTTTCATTTTAAATAAAGAGTGATGGGGGTAGATTTTCTCTACCAAAGCACAAATCGTATTTTTAAGCTATAATAATTAAAGAAATGTGGTGTTAGGCCAAGAAAAGACATCCACAATAGTGCTATACATTGGAAAATTCATAGGTGTGTGTGTTTGTGTATGATTATAGTATTAAATATGTGGTCAAATTAGCGTTTAAAATCCCAGGAGAAGGATATTAAAAATATCTAAATACCTGAGGGGAGAGAACGCTAAGTAACATTCCTAAACCGCATCTGACATCAAGAAGGGAAAAAAAAAATACATTAAAGATTCAAACTTAGAAAAATGTGATAGTATGCATCAGCAAAAAAAAATATGATTAAGCATATTCTTACAACTATGTTTTTCCAATGAGCAGAAATTTCTGATAAACAAAACATCCATGTCAGAAATCCGGAAGCCATGATTGATAGTCCATGAAAAACTGAACGTGTTTCCAAAATTAAAATGCAGACAAATAGTGGGTAATATTTTCCCCATGGATGAATAATAAAAATAAAATTGCTACAAAACAAAGAACCTTGAGAGATAAACAAATGAGGAAGAAGGCCCATCAGCTGCTGATTCAGCTTTTGCGTTAGTTTGCCTTAAAGGTTTATGATTCCTTCCTTCCTTCCTTCCTTCCTTCCTTCCTTCCTTCCTTCCTTCCTTCCTTCCTTCTTTCCTTCCTTGTTACTTGTTAGCATCTCTTCCCTTATAGCCCCTATTGA